CTTGTCCAACATTATTGTCTGACCTCACAAACGCTCCTTTGACTGAATGGGCACAAATTCCCACAGACACTCAAAATCTTGTGGAAAGCTTCCTAGAAGAGTGGAGGCTGTTATAGCTGCAAAGTGGGGCAACTCAATGTTAGTGCACATGACTTTGGAATCATGGGATTTCCAACAAGCTCATCTAGGCATGATGGTCAGGTTTCCACATGCCACATAGTGTATATCTCTTATTCTCTTTCTCTTTCTCTCTCTCTCTCTCTCTCTCTCTCTCTCATACATTCACTTTGAAAATCGTCACAGCAGCTGCAGTGGCCCTGAACTCAAGTGTTGTCTGTGTGTGTGTGTGTGTGTGTGTGTGTGTGTGTGTGTGTGTGTGTGTGTGTTGTAAGGGTCTCTTGTTCGGGTTAAACTTGTCTTCAGATGTCAGGCGTTCTATGGCTTTAGTGTAGCCTCAGATGTTCATTTCCAGAAGGCTTCAGTCACTCAGAGATAAATATAGAATTTCACTACACTGTATGTAGAGAACTGTTTAAATACACATCAATACAAATGGACCAATCGAAATCCTCCAAAATGTGTGTGTGTATATATATATATATATATATATATATATGTGTGTGTGTATGTATATATAAATACATATTTATATATATATAATACATATATATATGCCCTGATCAGGCATAACATTATGACCACCTCCTTGTTTCTACGCTCATTGTCCATTTTATCAGCTCCACTTACTATATAGGTGCACTTTGTAGTTCTACAGTTACAGACTGTAGTCCATCTGTTTCTCTGCATACTTTGTTAGCCCCCTTTTACCCTGTTCTTCAGTGGTCAGGACCCCCATGGACCCTCACAGAGCAGGTACTATTTGGGTGGTGGGTCATTCTCAGCACTGCAGTAACACTGACATGGTGGTGGTGTGTTAGTGTGTGTTGCGCTGGTCTGAGTGGATCAGACACAGCGGTGCTGCTGAAGCTGCTGGAGCCTTATTTTAGCCCCGCCCCTATATTTTAGACCAGAATGTGAGGCTGCATCCCTGTCCCTCATGGCCCCATGGTGAGCAGTTAGATCCCACTGTTTTGAAGTAAATGTGTCCCAAAGTCTGAAAATCAGTGTTTGAACATTAAGAATGAAGTCACTACTAAAACACAAATGTTCTGCAATTAAAGTAAACTTGTTTTGTGTTTTAATGAAAAATATCATGATTTTATGTGCTGTTCAAAGTTGTGTTTGTGAGTCATGTTGTAATAAAGTATAGTTTTATTAATAATAAAATAAATATAATTAAGGTATAGGATCACAAAAGATTTATATATATATATATATATATATATATATATATATATATATATAGCCTGTTGTTGTCCACCCTCTGCCTCATTCATCACTGGTCAGTTTTTGACCACAGGATCACTGTCGACCAGTTATCTGTCTTAATAGTGTGTTGACAGTAGCTCCCACCTGCTAGGGGACAGTTAGAGACTGTAGCCCGTCTGTTGATGGACAGTTTGTGTTAGCAACACTGTGGTCCTTCATCAGTGGTCAGGTTTTGACCTCAGATTTGCTCTTGGTGGTATATTTTTAAGAGGCGGCCCACTCTCAAACTAGTAGTGACACTGGCGTGTGTAATATGCATTATATAGCACATATAAAACATTTGTTTATTTAGTCATTTATATATTTGTTTGTTTGTTTGTTTATTAGGCCGAAGCAGCTTCTTTACATTCACCTTGGGACGCAGTGATTGCTGCTCTATCCATCTGTATGGCTGTATGATCCCTCTGCTTTAGTGCTGCCCCCTAGCGGTCATGCTGTGTACAGTGTAAACTCTACAGCAGTAAATCAGCCTTTTCTCCTCACTGTAAATGCTCTCTTATCATCACTCATACCAGCCTGTGAAGTGGGTCATGTTTATCAAGCATATCACAGGAGAACGAGGGCGGCTACCAAAGCACTCCCACTAATTCCCTTTTTTGTCATATTACTGAAACGTCTACAGGAGCTCCCCGTACAGAAATCTGAAATATGGCCATAAACACTGATCAGGCATAACATTATGACCACCTCCTTGTTTCTATGCTCCTTGTCCATTTTATCAGCTCCACTTACTATACAGGTGCACTTTGTAGTTCTACAGTTACAGACTGTAGTCCATCTGTTTCTCTGATACTTTGTTAGCCCCCTTTTACCCTGTTCTTCAGTGGTCAGGACACCCATGGACCCTCACAGAGCAGGTACTATTTGGGTGGTGGATCATTCTCAGCACTGCAGTAACACTGACGTGGTGGTGGTGTGTTAGTGTGTGTTGCGCTGATCTGAGTGGATCAGACACAGCAGTGCTGCTGGAGTTTTTAAACACCTCAGTGTCACCGCTGGACTGAGAATAGTCCACCAACCAAAAACATCCAGCCAACAGTGTCCTGTGGGCAGCGTCCAGTGACCACTGATGAAGGACTAGAGGATGATTAGCACCTTTTTAAAGGCTCCTACATATCACTAAAAAGGGTTCTGCTATCATTATGGTGTCAAACTTGTAACAATAGAAGAACCCTTTTGGGTGCTATGTAGAACTCTTTTCAAAAAGGTTCGCTATAGAATGGTGAACACTCAAAGAACCCTTTGCATGCTTGCAAGGTTCTTTGCATCATTAAAGCGTTCTTAAGAATGTGCTGTAGATGGTTCTATATAGAACCCTTTTAAAATGGATTCTACATAGCACCCAAAAGGGTTCTCCTACTGTTATGATGTCAAAAAAGAACCCTTTTGGGTGCTATATAGAACCCTTTTCAAAAAGGTTCTATGTAGAACCATCTACAGCACATTCTCCATCAATCTGAAGAAGGTTTTATGAGGCAAAGAACTGTTTATCATGCAAATTGGTCTTTGAGTGTTCATGGTTCTATATAGTACCATGAACACTTGGCTTGATAAAAGGGTTCTCTGCGTCATGAAAGTGTTCTTTAGAATACTCTATAGATGGGTTCTATATAGCACCCAAAAGGGTTGTTCTATTGTTACGATGTCAAGCTTGTAACAATAAAAGAACCCTTTTGGGTGCTATATAGAACCCTTTTCAAAAAGGTTCTATATAGAACAATGAATGCTCAAAGAACCATTTGCATGGTTTAATGGTTTTTTTTTGCATCATGAAGGGTTCTTAAGAATGTGCTAGAGGTGGTTCTACATAAAACCTTTTTGAAAACTGTTCTATATAGCCCCGAAAAGGGTTCTTCTATTGTTATGATGTCAAGCTTGTAACAATAGAAGAACCCTTTTGAAAAAGGTGCTGTAGAACACTCAAAGAACCCTTTGTATATACAATATACTATAATTATAATATATACTATATATATATATATATATATATATATGTGTGTGTGTGTGTGTGTCTGTGTGTGTATATATCTATATATATCTACACACATATATATATATATATTATAGTATACTGTATATACACATATATGTATGTATGTATACACACACACATATGTATATAGAATTGTCCAGATGTGACTAATATAAGATAGATATATAAGTGAAATCCTTATATTGTAATGTATGTAATATCTTTGAAATGTATACATTGCCATGTTTCTGTATGGCATCTCAGAATCTCTCAGCCTACATTTGAAACCAGGTCACATCGAATCGGGCCAAGAAGACAATCCTGCTCTCCAAAACCTGTTTTAGCAGCGCAGGTGGCACATTTTGTACCTGATGGAAATGACCGTGAGGTCCAGATGGGACTCGTGCTGGTTATAACACTCACAATCCACCTGTTCCAGCGATGAGGTTATCATTGGCCTGTGTTGTTGCCCTTATCTTCATCAGCTAGCTTTGCTCCCGTTAGCTTTGATAGCTAATCTCAGTTTAAAGGAAAAATTCTATTGACTAAATTCCAGCATTAATAAAGGGTTAAGATGTTAACAAGGTCACTCAGAGTGGTTGGGTGTGAAATGCCTTGTTCTAGGGAAACTTCCCGAGTCAGGATTGTTCACAGTGGTGGTGATAGGAACCAGACGTCTGATGCCTCTAAAAGTTACCTAACAGTAAGTTATTATGGAAATTATGCTGTTTGATCCCTGAGACATTATTTTATGATAGTTTTGAGAAGGTTTTTTATTTTTCAAATCCACTTATGGCAGAGAGGTACATGAAAGGTGTGGTGAGACAAAATAATCCCCCCAAAAATGATTTTTTTTCAGAATTTAGACTATTTTACCATCATCAACATTATTAGAAGTACTCAGAAGACATATGTAGGTTCACTGCTGGTTGGATAGTAAACGTCTATATTTGTGTTGTGAACATGGTTCCTATCACCACCACTGTTGAGAAATCAAAGTCAGTAAGTTTACCTACAGTTATTGAATTATGCAGAAATTTTGAAAAATCGGTGGAATTGCCCTTTAATAGATTTTAGTAGCATACCACATGCAGGACTGCCAAAGCAATTACAGGACAATACAAAATAGTAATAGCAGTAATAAACCACATATGTCATCATATCGGGTGTTGTGTGTTAAGGATACACACACACATGCCAATGCATACAATAAAAACAAGTAAACAAACAAACAAACAACATATTTCACTGTTAATCTGGCTTTTCCCCCAATATTTTACACTGAAGTCTAAAGAAAAACTATCGTCGCTTGAAATAATGTCATTTTTACGGTTTAAAAGCGTGCAGTAGGTTAAAAACTCGTGCCTTACAGTGTAAATCTGACCTAGTCTGCAAACGCTATTCGCTATTTGTGCTGTTTAAACGTCTTGTTTACAGGTAGAGGGAAGTTTCATGTATTAGTTATTTTTGCCCGCCCGTATTCCGGAAAGCCCCGCCCTATTGCGCTAAGATTGGCTGGTAAATTCAGGGAGCGTGAACGTCTAGCCAATCGTAACGCAGGCCGCGGGACGCCACAAGCCTATCCAAGCGTGGAGGGGCGGGGCTTGTGGGAATACAGGTGGAGAAAAACTAACGCAACTTTCGCTTCCCCAAAGATTCTTGCAAATGAGAAGAAAAGCTGAAAACACGGCTAATAATTTCAGCGGCTTTGTTTTCGGCTAAAAGACTCCCAGAGGTTCGCCATGGCTCTGCCGAGACAGCTGAGAGAGGAGAGGTGAGGAAACACAGCAACAAAACCCGCTTTGGTGCAGTTTGGTCGTTTAAATGATGCCGGCTGACTCGGTATCTCAGGTCAGGTGAACGTTATCGTTAAGCTGACTCCTCAGTCCTGAAACGGCTTTGCTAGTCACTTTGCATACGTATGACGAGAGTTGTCGTTATTTTTGTTTAAGTAACGCGTATGGAAATACGTCTTGACCCAGTTTGGTGCTGTTTGACCACTTTTAATTCTCATAGTGACCCCCTTTGGTTTCAGTGATTTCGAGCAGCTGCCGGACAACGTTCCCATCAGCGCCACCATCGCGGACATTGAGGAGAAAAGTGGCTTCATCGTTTACTACGTGAGTCCAAGACACGTAGCTAACTTACTGTTTCTCTGATGTGACGTGGTGATGATTATGGCAACAAATCAATATTTTAGGAGAAAATTATCTCGTGGACTCAATATAATGAATCATGGCCTCATCATAGTAACTTGACTCCTCAGTATATTAATTTGTGGCCTCAATATATTCATTTGTGGCCTCAGTAAAGTAACCTATGGCCTCAGTGTGGCAATTAGTTGCCTGAATGTAGTATTTCATGGCCTCAACATATTAATTCATGGCCTAAGTGTGGTAATCTGTGGCCTCAATATACTATTTTGTGGCCTCAGTGTAGTAATTTGTGGCCTCAGTGTAGTAATCAGTTGCCTCATTATGGTAATTTATGTCCCCAGTATAGCAACCAATGGCCTCAGTAAAGTAACCGATGGCCTCAATGTAGTAATTAGTTGCCTCAATGTAGTATTTCATGGCCTCAACATATTAATTAATGGCCTTAATATTGTAAATTGTGGTTTTAATGTAATTCATGGTCTTAATATATTAATTCGTGACCTCAATATAGTAACTTCCAGCCTTAGAGTATTAATTTGTGGCCTCAATATTGTAATTTGTGGCCTAAATGTGGTCATTTGTGGCATCAATATATTTTATGGCCTCAGTATAGTAATTTGTGGCCTCAATATGTTATTTTGTGGCCTCAGTATAGCATCAGTATATTTTATGGCCTCAATATAGTAACTGGTGGCCTCAATATATTACTTAGTTGCCTCGTTATGGTAATTTGTGGCCTCAGTCTAGTAACTTATAGCCTTAATATATTAAATTGCGGCATCATTGTAGTAATTAGTTGCTTCACTATAGTGTTTTGTGCCCTCAACATATTAGTTTGTGGTCTTAATATAATAAATTGTGGCCTTAATATAGTAACTTGTGCCCTCAATGTAGTAACAGGTGGCCTCAGTATATTAATTTGTGGCCACGCCTTTTAAAAAAATAATCAGCATGTGACCGTAGAGGCGTTGTAGAGTTCTGTAACTTAAAAAACTCAGTTCTGAAAATGTAAATAAAAGTGGTATGGTGTGGTATGGAATCCTCTGTTCTAGATAAACTTCGGGATAACCATCAGGGTTGTCCACAGTGGTGGTGCTAGGAACCAGACGTCCACCTCTAAAAGTTCCCTCACAGAGCAGGTACTATTTGGGTGGTGGATCATTCTCAGCACTGCAGTAACACTGACGTGGTGGAGGTGTGTTAGTGTGTGTTGTGCTGGTCTGAGTGGATCAGACACAGCAGTGCTGCTGGAGTTTTTAAACACCTCAGTGTCACTGCTGGACTGAGAATAGTCCACCAGCCAAAAACATCCAGCCAACAGCGTCCTGTGGGCAGCGTCCTGTGACCACTGATGAAGGACTAGAGGATGACCAACACAAACTGTGCAGCAGCAGATGAGCTGCTCTGTGAGGGTCCATGGAGGTCCTGACCACTGAAGAACAGAGTAAAAGGGGGCTAACAAAGTATGCAGAGAAACAGATGGACTACAGTCTGTAACTGTAGAGCTACAAAGTGCACCTATATAGTAAGTGGAGCTGATAAAATGGACAGTGAGCGTAGAAACAAGAAGGTGGTCATAATGTTATGCCTGATCGTTGTACATTGTCACTTTACCCAGCTCTACATAAAGACTCAGAAGACACTGTAGGTCATTTTGGATAGTACATAAAATGGCTATATTTGTGATGACCCCTGGTTCCTATCACCACCACTGTAAAGAAGCCTCAGTCTGGAGTTTCTTTCTCTACACACAGAGCCAAGAGCTAAGCTCCAGAATTGATCAGCCTTGCACTTTTTCACTGAAATAGCACCCAGTATACCTGCCACGCTCTGGCTTATGATGGGTTCTACAGCTGGATAGAGGACAGTAAATTGTCTGTCTAAAGCTTATGAGCTACAGGAGCCCACTGCCTGACCCCACACCTCTCTCTATCTCTCTTTCTCTCTGGCAGTTTTTCGTGATTGAAGTGAAGACTAAAGGAGGCAGTAAGTACCTGATCTACCGCAGATACCGTCAGTTCTTCGCTCTCCATCAGAGACTGGAGCTGAAGTTCTCGCCCGAAGCTCAGTCAGGACCCTACACCTTTGTACTGCCCACTCTGCCCGGTCAGTGCCTCTTTTATAGCCCATTTAAATGTGTCGTGTGTGTCAGTTTGTGTTGGGGTTGATATCCTGACCTGCTCCACTCATCTAGTTGGTTTCAGTACTGAACCAAAGAATCATGCACATCATCATTTAAACCCAGTTTTAAGAGTCTGTCCACACTTTTATTCCTCACTCCGCTACCAAACTTGCAACAAAACGTGGCTGGGCGATAAAACGATAACGATAGTTATCGTGACATAACTTTCCTCGGTAGAAAGAAATGTTCAACGAATGTTTGATTTAATAGACCATTCTCACACTTCCGTGTTCTAACGACAGCCCTGGTGGCGTTTTCTACTGCAAGGAAAGCGACACTACTCTGCTGTCGCCACGAGAAGGCGCACTTCTGAGTTTTTCTACAGGATTAGATTAGCTTTAGCAGCATTAAATCACGTCTGCTCCTCACAACTACAGCACTGTTACAGCGCTCAAGCAGTCAGATTGTAGTATTAGTTCATTCCCAAGCAACACAAGTGAAAGAGCACTGCACTGATCTGAACTAAAGTGAACTGAAGATGCTGTATGTGTGGCACTGGAGAGTGGGAGAACACTAGCGTCCCAGGCTAGCTGTTTTTAGCAGCTGGCTAACCTGAAGCAGTGCTGTGTCAGCCTCACAACACGGCGAATTAATGTTACTGCAGGCCAAACAAGGCAAAAAAGTGGTGATTTCAGGTTAAACAGACCTAAAAGGAGGACTAGTTTGTCTAGTTTGTCTAGCACTCGTCACCAGACAGCCAAAAATAATCTAAAATTTTCTTTCTTAACTTATAACTATTCCAAAAATTGTGGCCGTGCTTTTCCAGCTGGTAAAAACATACATACATACATACATCATCTAAACCGCTTATCCTTCTGGGTCGCGGCTGGTAAAAACAGCTAATCAGAAACTTTCTCCCACAATCTCATGACAGATTTGTGAAATGTTCCACTGTTTGGTGAGTGTTTGTCGTGTTCTGACCATAAAGGATTAAAATCAGCCTTCAAACTTTCAAGAAATAATGATTTGATATTTATCGCGATATGTATCGACATCAACTGATGAAATTTTTGTATCATGATGACATTTTTGGCCTTATCGTCCAGCCCTGCTTGCATATTAGTTTTATTATAGCACTTTTTAAAAAAGTGAAAATGGAACAGTCTCCTTGCAAAGCATGTGTTTTGCTGTTTTGGTTCAATAAAAAGTCTATCAATATGGCTCCTGAGTGGCGCAGCGAAGTGTCTAAAGGCACCCGCACACCAGAACATAGTGTAGCATCGCATAGCCACAAGAAATGCGTCACAGTGAGAGCGCTGATAAATGAGAAGCTCACGTTCATTTTACACAATGCTATATTTAAGAGAATTGAACTTTCACCGTCGGTTGTGTGCTCTCAGCTCACTAAGGGGGTCCTCAGACTACACCTTTTCAAAGCACGCTTATTTATTTACTTTTTTTGCCCACAGACCACTGTAGTCGTGCATTATTCTGTAGTCTGTGTTGTGCCCATATTAGGAACTCCGAGTCTAAGCTCAATTTCTTTATGGACAGGATGGATGGGGTTCACAAAAAATCGCCTCTATCGCCCCCTGTGTAAATAAAAATGTTCAGAACCCGGTAAGTTTTGTCCTGTGAACATTTTTCTCCCTGATTACCACTGGATCCTCTGAATTACAAAGTCGTTAAAGAGCCTTAATACTAATATAGCTACATGCAAGCTAAAGCTACTGCACATCAATTAAATTTTCACTATGGCGACGTTCACATTACCAGGTTGAAGTGGCACAAATCCGAATTTTTTGCCCTGATGTGACTCAGATCTGATGTTTTCAGAGCTGTGTGGATCTGATCGTTTCAAATCCGACCTGAGCCACTTTCATATGTGGTCCTAGATCGGATACGTATCCGATTCGTGGTCATGTGACCTTAATGTGACGCTCAGATCGGAATTCATGTGCTTTTTTTCCCACTGCGCGTGACCATCATTTAGCGTTACCATGGCAGCAGCGCCGAACAGAAGTTAGCCTGTAAAAGGTGGAAAAGCAGCTCATCTCACCTTTTTCTCCTTGGTCTCGCTCTAATAATGAAGCTGAGAGCTGATCAGAGTTAATGAACTTCTCAGCGAAGCTCGTTCTGCTCGTTAGTTTGTGCTGATGATGAATGTGATTCATTCACGTGACGTTACTGAGTAGGATGTGCGCATGAGGGTCATTTCAGGACGACGGTTCATCACAATAATGACAGATTTGAGTCACTTACCTAAACGAGTGTGAACTTATCAAATCAGAGAGATCGGATTTGAGCAAAAAACGGATTTGAGCAACGAGGCTTGTAATGTGAACGGAACAAAACTAAGGCGGGCTGTGGAGGTGTTCTGATGGGTTGTGCTTCCTTTTCAAAATGTTCTACCATAGCGTGTATTTACAGGTATACCCATAAGTAAAACCTCTAGGTAGGACATTCTGATAGGATAAAACTCCCTATCAAAAAATACTACCGTCTACGAGGCTGAATTCTGCTTCTTTTTTGCCGGCTTGTTCTTTTGAGTTTTCCTGTTCCACCTTAAATCGTGCAGCAGTTGTGATATTAGCAGCAATAAAATAATAATTAGTATATTTTGATAGCCTAAATCAGCTGATCAGGGGGTCAGCAGTAATATTAAGCCAAGTCTGTACTGAATTAGCCTGAGAGCAGGTAAGTTTGTAGAGCTTTTCAAATCAAGGTATGTACAGAACGGAAAGATGTATCACCACCACCATCACAGCTGAACAATCAGTATCAATGACACTTTCTCTCGAGTTACTAATGGAGGAAATGTGTGACGTCACACCGTATAGTCGCTGTCGTTGTGGGGACAGAATCATGGAGTGACTGCGCTGCACGATGCCCTTACTTTGCTGTGCTTTGTGACTGATTCACCTGCAAGACACGACAAAATCCGAGAGACACACAGACCTTTAATTCAGTGTTTTCCCTCCAGGCTTTGGGGCCCCTGCACTGTATAGTTTAGTGTTTCTCTCTGCTGTTCACCTCGTTCAGCTCAAGAAGGGATTAATTAGCTAATAATATCAGGTATTTTAACCAGGAAACCACAGTTATGCAGTGCAGGGGTTTCAGGACTGGAGCTGAACTCTGAACTAACTGAACCAGCAAACTTACAGAATCACGTCTGTCGAAACACGACGTCGCTTTCAGACCCACGACATTCAGTCTGATATTTAACGTTAATGTTTCTCCATTCAAACCTCATTTAAATCTCCAGAAACAGAGAGTGAAGTTATACCGGCTGTCTGCAGCTCCGTTAGGGGGACTGTTTATCTCTTGGCTGTTAACGTTAGCTAAAGTTATCTAAAGGCTAGCATTGATCACATCTGTGTTAATTAGCTGATGTCGTTACCCTCCTATGATCACAGAGTGTTTCTCCTCTTTATGCAGCACCATGGGATCCTTTACCCACCCTGACGTGAAGAGCCGGTGGGCTTCTGTGCTTTTAAATGCTCTGAGAAACTCTCCAGAATAAGGAGAGGGGCTGAGTATGAGATAAATATAAATGTCAGGAAAACACAAATTTGGTGTCTTTCCGTCAGTTTAAGTGGGACCAGGAGTTCAGGGGGAAACTGTATAAGGATCACAGATTCTCTTCCAAAGTAAGGAGAGTAATTTTAGCCGTCTTTCACCTCTAGTTACGTTCAGAGCAGCGAAGCCAGAAATTCGGTCCCAAATATGGCGGCCACAACAGAAACATCGCGGGACTGAAACCCTACCATAACCACTGATTTCAAATTTTAGGACACTGTGCGACACCGCGTGGGGTGTCCGTTATGTGGTGTCCTTTAGATTTGGAACTAACCTCTGGAGGATGGTAGATCCTCAGGACTAGATTTGGGGTTTCTGTAGCTCTCCCAGGTTTAAGGAGTTAATGCCTGATAGCGCAGCCTGCTAATGTACTGAATGAAGGCTGAAACCTCTCTGTCTTAAAAAGTAATGGCACAGCTGTCTCCATTCATCTCTGTCTCCGCTGCAGTAAGTCTTCTAATGGAATGCTAGAGATCGAAAGCCGTCCAGCCGGCCAGAGAGAGAGAGAGAGAGAGAGAGAAATGAAAATAATTACCTGATTAAACAGCTTTGCCACTCCCTAGCCTGCAAACTCGTAACTCCTCACACGCAATCAGAAGCTCTGTGTAGTGCTTCATTAAGTATTAGTATCTGAAGCTACGCTACTGTGCCAAAGTCACCTGTTAGTTTATTAAATTTTGAATAAAACAACAAAAACAACAGTTCAATATAAGTTGTTCATTTCTAAATAGCAGAAAGAAGCAGAAAATATGTTTTTAATTTGTCCACTCTTACGTTTGTGCAGCTCCTGCTTCTTTAACTCTTCCATCCTTTCAGTCTTAAAACTAGCCAGTTACAGCTGCGTCCTCCCAACAACAGCTTTCCAAAAGAGTCACCGACTTTAATCTATTCCTAACAGACACTAGGGCCCAATCCTATTTCACCCCTTGCCCCTGCTGTTAGCCCTCATCCCTCGCCCGGGTTCAAGTCTAGGGGTCCCGAGTTTTGTTGAGAATTGCTAGTAGTTTGCTGATGTCTTGGTAGACAGCTAGCTAAATTTCCTGTTCCACCTTAAATGGTGCAGCAGTTACAGTCTGGCGCCTCAGGCATCAGAACTGCTGCTCTATTTAAGGTGGAACGGAAAAATCTGAGCAAGAATCTGGCGAATAGCTTCATATCACTGAAGAATTAGGGGTGGGCTTTGTTGTCCCCCTCTTTGAAGGCATATGATGCCCTAAATGTAACTGAAGCCCAGCAGTGAGGAGCTGAACTTTACCCTCCTCTGCTGTCACTGCAGACTGGCAGGGTCGCCTACAGAGCAGCGCTAGTAGCTGTTAATGAAGTGATGCTCTTTTTATTTGAGGGTCCCATTTCATAGAGGAAGATTTCAACCACTACCCCTGTAACTCAGTTCCAAGGGGCAAGG